TAATATTTCTATTAGTATATTACCTTATAGATCCTATAAAATATTTGCAGTCAATAAAATAAAGTTCTTACAGAAATGCAAGTCAAATGACATCCCAGTATTTTTAAATTATCAGATTGGAAAAAAGGGGGAAAAGATTGTCAATTCAGTGTTAGCCAGGATGTAGGGACTTTGAGTGGGAATGCAAATTGATACCACCTTTCTGGTGAGTAATTAAAATAGAGCAGAATTTAAAATGGGCATTGCTCCAAATGGAGCAATTCCACATGTAGGAATTCTAACTAAGGAGAAATGTTTTTAAATTCCCCAAAATGTAGGTGCTGACTTGTATTCACTTATGGAATTAATGGTGGCCCTTTGTTCTTGTATATACTTTTCTTTGTTCTTTTGCTTTCTAAACTTTTTTTTTTTTTTTATTGATTTCTAGAGAGGAAGGGAAACAGAGAGAAACATTGATTGGTTGCTTCCTGCATGTGCCCCGACCAGGGGTCGAACCCGAAACCTGAGTATGTGCCCAGACCAGTAATCAAACCTGCCACCTTTTGGTGTATGGGACGACATTCCAACAACCAACTGAGCCACACCACTTTCTAAATGTGGTGTCCCAAAGCTTATACACTTACATGTTGGGAGGAGACAGCAGATCTTAAATGCTTCATGGCCATGACCTGAAACCAGAAGTTCTGAATCTTGGCAGCACATTAGGAAGGAGTCTTAATGTCTGGCGCTCAAAGATTTTGATTTAACCATCTTGGGTGAGGCTTGGGCATTGGGAGTTTTCAATACTGCCGAATTAATTCCAATTGACAGACAAGCTTGAGACCAATAGGAACAGTAGAATCTCTCTTAACCTGACCTCTATTTAAAATCTGATTGGTTAACCTGTATTCTCCTTTCCTTTTGTAAAAAAAAAAAAAAAAATGTTGACTGAGCTCCAAGACCTATTTAACATCCACCAGTTCAGTTGATTTCCAAGATTCAGCTGTTTCTAAACCTTTTTATGCCAGTTATGTTTTTTATGGTAATATTATAGTTCAATTAAATATGAGTCTTTAAGAAGAGACAGAGTTGAATGTCTGGAAAGATATCCAAAGTAAGCTGCTTTAAAAAGAAGTTAAGGACCAACCTGGCTAGTGTGGGCAGTAGTTAGAGCATCGTCATGTGCACCAAAGGGTCGTGGGGTTAATTCCTGGTCAAGGGCATGCACCTGGGTTGCAGATTTGATTCCCCAGCCCCGGTTTGGGCGCATTTGGGAGGCAACCAATTGATATATCTCTCTCACATTGATCTTTTCTATTCTCTTTCTCTTTCTCCCACTCTCCTCCCTCCCTTCCACTTTCTCTAAAACTCAATGGAAAAAATATCCTCGAGTGAGGATTAACAACAACAAAAAAAGATGTAAGAACCAATGCACAGAAGGGCAAAGTCCATTGGCGAACGTTCGGGCACCCCACTTCCTGTCAGCTTTTAGTTACTTGATAAGGGATTTCAAAAGAACTGAGATGCTACAGGTTGTTGGCACATTGCAGGGCATGTCATATAACCTGCTTTTATTGCAACTAGCATAAGATCGGAGCCATGATCATGAGATTCCTTAGCCAAGGTGGCACTGGGGATCCAGAACCAGTCACCTCAGAAGAGAGAATTCGCGTGACCGAGCATCCCTGTTTGCTCAGGGCTGAGGAGTTCCTGGGATGCACTTCCAGTGATGACATTGACAAAGTACTTGCCAACCAAAACAAACCATTCACCTGATGGGGAATCAACCACCTTTGCCTTTCACAGGGGTCGCCTAAGACCATCGGAAAACACATATTTCCGATGGTCTTAGGAACCGAGACACTGCTCCTCTATCCGTCTCCAGGCGGGTCCGCCACATGCAGATACATCCATACACACATGAGGAACTGTATTAAAGGGTCGCAGCGTTATGAAGGTTGAGAACCACTGCCTTATTGGAACCACAACTTTTAGTCAGTAGAGTCCAGCTGAGAATAGATATCACAACCTATTAAACTGCTGGGGACTTCTGCACTCCCCTACCTTATTTTGCAGATACACTCAGAGTGGTGTGGACATTTTCCCAAGGTCACACAGCATACCAAGAACCAGACTCTATGGCCACACTCCCAGTTTAGGGTACTTTCCACTGCATTGCATTTTCTGCTTGTCTATTCTTTTTTATCCCTTTTAAAGTGTGAAATGATTTTGGATGTTTTTTTTTCTGACCACAGGACAGCCTTTAGAATAGCAAGAACTGCTCTTACTGTGATAGGGGGGCACTGGTCTGGGTTCTATTTATATTGGGATGGTGAATCAAATCAGGTTGTTGTAAATGGCCTCAGCTGATCACCATCTTTATCATTGCATGGCATTCATTCCTGTCGATTTTACAACCCACTGAAAGTATTTTCTTTTTCTTGTTATATTTTTTAACTCATCTTTATTGTTGAATGCATTACAGATGCCCCCCTTTTTTCCCCATTGATCCCCTCCTCCCCAACCCCCCCCCCCACCTTCCCCACACTATTGTCAGCATCCATTGGTTATGCATATATGCATAGAAGTTCTTTGGTTTATCTCATCCCGCCCTCCCTCCTCCCTTCCCTTTGAGGTTCATCAGTCTTAACAACCAATTTGTACTTAATTCCTTAATCTATTTCACCCATTCCCCCAGCCCCCGCCCATGTGGCAAGCAGCAAATATTGGAAGTATTTTCAACATGCAACTATTTGTCATCATCAAATGCTACCCTTGACAGAAATGGTCAGGACGAACCTCTGGGTGAGGGGATCATGTTTGTGCTCATTCAAAAAGAGAAAACAGCTCAGAGACTACAGTGAAGCCAACCAATCCAGAATGTGGTCTTGGGAAGCAGGGGCAGGGAAAAGTTGGGAGGGATGTGTTCCTGGGGTACAGGGAGGTAAGTTAATCAAGTGATCTGTAGTGAGGACTGACTCTGTCGACTTATCCACACAATACGCACAAAGGCTATGGTAGTGTTTCAACCCCACCCTTCCTTCATTGGCTATCCTCACTCAAACACTCCGTGTAGTCCTGTTTCAGTCCTTGCTGGAATACAGCCATCTGGTTCTGGAATATTCTGCCATGAAGTACCGGCAGTAAGCAGTCCCTTCACAAAGCCCTTTCTGATCATCCTAGCCTGATGGACCCTCTCACTCTCTAATTCTTTAAAAAAACATTTTTTAGGATAATACTTTCCAGGTCCCTCCATGTCATCTCAAAGGATAAGAGATCTTTCTTTCTTACAGCTGCATAGTACTCCACTGTGTATATGTACCACAGCTTTTTTATCCACTCATCTATTGATGGACATTTGGGCTGTTTCCAGATCTTAGCTATTGTAAATAATGTGCTATGAACATGAGGGTACATATATTCTTTCTGATTGGTGTTTCCGGCTTCTTAGGGTATATTCCTAGAAGTGGGATCACTGGGTCAAATGGGAGTTCAACTTTGAATTTTTTGAGGTAACAGCATAGTGTTTTCCACAGTGGCTGCACCAGTCTGCGTTCCCACCAGCAGTGAGTGTACTAGAGTCCCCTTTTCTCCACACCCTCATCAACACTTGTCGTTTGATGATTTGTTGATGGCGGCCATTCTGACAGGTGTGAGGTGATACCTCATTGTTGTTTTAATTTGCATCTCTCTGATGATTAGTGATGTTGAGCATTTCTTTATATGTCTCTTAGCCATTTGTATGTCCTGTTTGGAGTATTATCCTAAGCGAAACAAGCCAAGCAGAAAGACAAGTATCATATGATCTCACTTATTTGTGGAATATAATGAACATAACAGTCTGAAGATCAGGGTAGTCCCAGAGACGTGAAAGTAGGGTACAGACTGACAATCCCCAGAAGAGGGGGTGGGGGAGAGAGATAAAACACAGAACTTATATGCATGTATGCATAACCAATGGACATGGACAACAAAGCTGGGGACAGGGCAGGGAGGGTGTCAATGGGGGAAAAAGGAGAAACATCTGTAACAAAAATAAATTAAAAAAATAAAAAAATAAAAAAAATGTAAAGGTTTTTATTGTTTTAGAGAGAGGAAGGGAGATAGAAACATTGATGAGAGAGAGAGACATCAATTGGCTGCCTCCTGCGTACCCACTACTGGGGATCAAGCCCACAACCTGGACATGTGCTCTGACCAGTAATTGAACAAGGACCTCTCAGTCCATGGGATGACGCTCAGTCCACTGAGCCACACCAGCTGGGCTAACCTTCTACTCCATCTTCCCGACACTTAGCCTGTCCATCCTGCCACATGAAACAAAACACTCCCAAAGCTGTGTGACAGCACTATTAGGTGGAATTAAAATGCTTTTGGCGTTTCCATCACTCCTTCCTTTACCCCCTTCCTTCTAGTACATACCATCACATTCTCTTAAACAGATCTTCCCCGATGGACTTGGTTTTAGTTCTTTATTTTTCACTGGGGCTTTAAAACAGAAGGTTGCCACTCTCAGCTACCTACACTTGGAAGCTGAGCATTACTGGGAAAACAACTATAAATTTACTTTGGCACCCCCGCCCCCCAACCCCTGAGGTAGCTTAAAGCATTACTGAATAGGTAGTTGTTTTTCGGGAGCAGGAAACTCTTCTTGGCACTTGTGAGACCTGTGAGATGTATGTTTAAGTTTGGTCTGCTCCACCTTTGGATACTGAACTTAACTCCTTTGCTGGGTGAACACACTGTGTAATCTGCAACTGAATAGGAAACATCTAAAGTGATCAACTTGGATGCCTTATGCAACACAGCTGTTAGGCTTTGAGGCAAGGATACTGCTAATAGGTCCTTAAGAAATACCTTCAAAATGGAGAAGAGCTGACTTGAAAAAAACTTCTGGCTTTTCTGTCCATTTCTATGGTGGGCTAGAGTCGGGAAGTAGCATGCATTTTCAGATACCCCATAAAACATATCACGCCATCAAAACATATTACTCCACAATGATGATACACACTATGAGAGAAAGTAGTAGTAGGACTTTATTGAAATGTTTTAGTACAGTGTTGGAAGATCTTAAAATCTTACATTCTAAACCAATAGAAGCACTGCCAGTGATAAATTGCTGGATCCAGTTGACATCTTACCTAACAAAGGACAGTTATCACATGAATATCTGTAAGTTGATTAGTATAAATTAAGTTGGAGGCTGAGTGGCTTTGGTACGTTCACATTTCTCTGGCTTCTCTTTTTGGCTAGACCACCAAGTCTGCCTGCATTTTAGCTGCCCAGGACTAACATCTTCGGTGGTTTCACTTCAAAGTTTCCACACCAGCAGCAATAAAAGCATGAGTACAGGGATGAGATGTTGAACTGAAACCAAATAGCTCAGGTCCACACTGCCACTCTGTCTGGCTAAGTCTAGTCTAATTAGTTAACCAGTGTATTAGAAATACATTAAAACACACACATGACACTAAATAATGTAACAAACAGTTTTCATTCAGAGAATTACAATAGATTTTCTAACATTTTAAAAAAAATCTTCATATCATTCTTTTGAAATTCTTTTATTAGAAATGTTAGATGAAATGATTACCTTCAAATCAACTGGTTTTAGTTGTGTCAACGTGCATGCACTTTTATGCCAAGCTGCCTACTTCTGCGTGCTCATAGCTACATTTCATTTCTCTATGCATAGAAATGCCAAGAAATACAGGTATCACTCATTTATCAAAAATTAAAATTACATAGCATCTAAATAAACTCTTTACACATCTCAAGTCAACTCTTCTTAGATATTGTCAGTCTGTATTGCATAGCTGGCTTTATCATGATCAGGCTGTATCATGTTATCTCAAAAACCATTTTAAGGTACAACTAATGCTCGCTTCTGTGATGACCAAAAGGTCAGTTTCTAACTGGGATTCCACCGCTGCTGCAGTGGATGGAGCTCGAAACCTTAGACTGCTCCCTGTTAATGACTTCGGCAGGTTTTACTGTTTCACCTGCAGAATTTAAAGAATTTATTCTGATCTTCAAGTTTTAAGATTCAGCAGAGAGACTTGCTTACCATTCTATGCAGGCAAATTCTCTTCTTCTGGGGATGTTATTAGGGCCATCTTGGGGAGAAAGCAGTGTTCCCCTCCATGTTCACTCTTGGGCCCCTATTTGAATTTTATTTTAATGAAGGAACTAATGCTTACTTATTTGACCTTTTTTCGTAGGCCTTTCTTACCCACATTTTTCAAATAGTGGCTTTAGTTGAATTAATCAGTTGCCTAGACTTGCCACTTCTGATTACAAAAAGAAAAAGAACACTAGAAATAAAAACTAATGCTGTTTAAATATGCATTTGGTATAACTCACCAAAATCCACCTTTTTATTTACGTCAGTTTGAGAAGACGTAGCAGTTTTGTTTTGGTGGAAATCCACAATGTGAAAATATTGGGAAAAAGGCAAAGTAAAAGGTAGAGCTAAAAACGTCACCTAAAATAATAAGACAACAGGACAAGAGGTGATGTCTAATGTTTACCCAAAAATGTGTGAGTGGTCATCTTAAACTACATAAAATTTGGTCCAAATTAAGCACAATAACAACAATAACAAAAAATCACGGTATTATAAATTTTCTAAAGTTTTCTTAGAAGGACTCATTTTATACAGTGTTTTACCCAAATGTCCATAGGCATTATCATTATATATCTACATAGAAGTCTTTATCCTAGAGTCACCTTTTGGCAACCCTGAAATATATAAATTATGAACTTCCACATTGGCATTTATATACTCAAAAGTTGTGACCTCAAAATACTGACAAGACAAAGGAAAAAGTCACCTATCAGAATAAGTCAAGATGACAAAAATACTTCTGATTTATGACCGTTCACAAATCAAATAACCACCGCCCTCCCCCCAAACTGGAAATAAATGATCTCAAGCTATAGAAGGAGAAACAGTGGATCTTGGAGGATACAAAGATCTGATGCTTTTGCGTTCTAATTGCTGAGTCCTAAAGCTACAAAATCAGATACAAACACACTAGTCAGAAGCCAGCAGGCTTGCTCCATGCTCCCATCCTGGATTTATAGCGGGACATGGCTGAACAGGTAAGACACGGATTCACCATTGTGGGTCCTGCGGATCGCCTCGGCCAAGATCATCGAAATGTCAATAACCTAAATGCCAAAAAGCAAACAAACAAACAAAACAGAAAAGGGGTGAGGAAAGTGCAGCATCTCAGTCATATTTAATTAAAAACCTAAAAACCAGAAAACCTACAATTTCTCTATTTGCAAGACTCGCAACTATCAAGACCTCCCACAACCATTTCTTTTGAGAGGATAGCTTTAGATGGATCTTCAAATTACCACCTGTGAAATCAAACCCCTGTGGGGTCCCAGAAGCAAGCTTTTTGGTACAGATACTCAAAGGCTTTTCAGGATCACTACTAACCAGAAACATCGCATTCTTGGGCTTTTGTTGTTTTTAAATTAATTTTATTCAATTATATGTTACGTTTTTCTCTCTCGGTTTCAGAAAAATGCAGTGACTGTATCATTTAAGAGTTCTGCTGCGATCATTCTAACTCAGGGGTCAACAAACGACTTTTTCTGTAAAGGGCTCGATAATAAATATTTTCTATTTTGTAGGTTACACAACTCAGCTGTTGTAGTGTGAGAACAGCTGTAGACAATATATAAATGAATGAGTATGGCTGTGTTCCAATAAAACTTTATTTACAAAAGCAGATAGTGGGTCATAGCTTGTAGACTCTCAACTGTGGCTAATCAGGTGGACTTGGTGGGTCATGTGTTAATTCTGTTTAGCTTCAGCACAGCCTGCTTCTTACTGGTTTTCTATTATGGTTTTATTCACTTATTGCTTCTGCTTGGACCTCTGCCAGCCTTTCTCAGAGATCTAACGGCAATCAGGCCATCACACATGAGAAGTGGCAGCCGAGGCTGGCGTTTGCCTTAGTGAGCAGTCTCACACAGAAGACTCGATGCTATTTCTTGGGATCTAAGACAATACCTGGATCTTGGAGCAGTGAATCATTTTGTCCTCTTGTGGAATTGTGTTTGTGACAACAACGGCCTCAAAGGAGGCACTATTTATTCTGGAAATAGCCGGCCCAGAGAAGATCCCATGAGTGAGGATAGCATAGACTTTGGTGGCTCCAGCCGAGATCAACCTATAAAACAGAAGACAAAACAAAAACAACAGTCTCCTCCTAGTGTGACTTTAAAAACAAAAAGTGTGTTCCATAAAGGAAAACACAAAACCAATTTCATTCACAGGATCTCGAAGCTACGTGTTGGCAACATCCTTTGTGTGCCATTAAATCCGCGCCTACTGACCTGGGCCTTGGGCTCTGGGAATTCTTTGGTGTGCTGCACCCTCTGGATTACAGTGGAGTAATTCTTCCCTCCCCTCAGCTGTGACAACCAAAAATGTCTCCAGACACTGCCAAATGTCCCCTCAGGGAGTAATACTGCCTTTGGTTGAGAGCCACTGGTTTAAACCCAAACAGTCAGAATACCAGCATTTTGACATACCAATATAAAAAGCCATTGAGAGATTTTATGTTCTCTGTTTTGTACTGTCTTTGAAGGCTGGAGTGAAGGCCGAACAGAAGTGGGGGCCCAAGGAAACCCACAAGATGGTCTCTTTCCTTCTGTGCTATTTCAGGGGACAAACCTCCTAGGACTCTATAAAATCCACTGATAGCTCAACCTTAAAAATGAAAACAAGGCCACAAAGGACCATGGTTTTCTTTCTACTGAGGGAAAAAAAAATGGGCCTATAACCTCTTTCGGTCTGAAATGCCACTGCTAAGCAAACAGCAATAATTAGGAAACATAGGTCCTGTTTTTAAAAGTTGACACTTTCCTCTTCTTTTTAAAAAATATATGTTTTTATTGATTTTTAGAGAGGGGAAGGGAGGAGCGAGAAAAAAATCGATGTGAGAGGGGGACATCAAAGGGCTGCCTTCCGCATGCACCCCTAGTGGGGATCGAGCCTGTAACCTGGGCATGTGTCCTGACCGGGAATCAACCGGCAACCTTTTGGTGCATGGGAGGACGCCTAACCAACTAAGCCATACCGGCCAGGGACATTTTTCCCCTTCTTAATGAGATATCCTAACACTTTCCCAAACTGCCCCTCGTACTTGTCAGCAGCGTGGCAGATTGTGCCACATGTGTCAGCCATGTCATCCACGAGGATGGCCACACGGTTCTTCACGTCGCCCACCAGGACCATCCGGTCCACTTCATTCGCCTTCTTCCTCTCTTTGTGAATCAACGCAAATTCCACATTCAACCTGTCCGCTATTGATGTGACCCTGCGCAGACACAAAAGGACTTGTTAAATATGGTTAAAAAAAAATCTCGTTCTAGTTGTATGTTAGGAATGTAGTAACCAATTTCACTCAAGATAATGAAAGAATCAGGTGTCACTTGTAATGCCATGCCTGGTTTGGGACATGCCTGAGCAACCCATGGGAGAAATGTGCTAGTGATGTGGCCCTGCATTTGCAGCCACTGGGGATGAATGTCAGGGTGCCTGACCACTGGACAAAGCTACTGGATAAGAAATTGATATTCAATTTGTTACTGCTGCATGGTGGTTTGTTGTTGTTACTGTTGTTAATTCTCACCCAAGGATATTTTTTACATTGATTTTTTCAGAGAAAATGGAAGGGAGGGCGAGAGAGAGAGAAACATCAATGTGAGAGAGACCCATCGACTAGCTGCCTCTCCCACACACCCTGACTGGGGCTAGGGATTGAACATGTAACCCAGGTACTTTCCCTTGACCAGGAATCAAACCTGTGACTGTGCAGTGTGAGGGCCAACGCTCCAACCACTGAGCCACACCAGCCAGGGCTGCGTGGTATTTTTTTTCCCCCAATCCCCACCCAAGGACATTTTTTTAAAATTTATCTTTCAGGTAGAGCAGGAGGGAGAGAGAGAGAGAAGAGAGAAACACCAATGTGAGAGAAACCAACCGGGGTCAGGGACAAACTGCAACCGAGGTACGTGCCCCTAGCGGGAACTGAACCCCACACTCTCTGGACTGCAGGCCGACGCTCTAACCACTGAGAAAACCAGCCAGGACTGCATGGTGGTGTTTTAAATCACAGGCACAAGCTACTTGGAAACTGCCATTTGCGCATTAATGGTGCAGCTAGTGAGGACAAAGTCCTGGTTAATGCAGCCACAGAACATGTAGGCCTAGGAAAACAGTCTCCACTATACTCAAGGCCTCGGGAGACTATAAATCGTGGGTCTGGCTCCTCTGCCCATCAACTGGGCATGCTCAAAAGCCACCAGCTCAGAAAGGGCTGAGCTGGCCACAGAAAGAGAAGGTGACAGGCCCGGGCTGTCAGTGAGCCCAGGATATTTTGGATTCTTTCTATTAAAAGCGAGGCTTGCCCTGGCCAGTTTGGCTCAGCGGTTGGAGCGTCGGCCTGCGGTCCAGAGAGACCCGGGTTCGGTTCCCGCTAAGGGCACGTACCTCGGTTGCAGTTTGTCCCCGGCCCTGGTTGGTCGTGCGGGTGGCAGCCACTCGATGTGTCCCTTCACATCGATGTTTCTCTCTCTCTCTCTCTTCCTCTCTCTCCCTCCCACTCTACCTGAACAAAAAATGGAAAAATGTCCTCGGGTGAGGATAAAAAAAAAAAGTGGGGCTTAAATGATGAAAAATGACCACAAAATAATGCCACAGATACAATGTGACATGACATAAGATTCACCTATTGCATTTTTTATAGTAACAATTGTTATATGATTCAATTGAAAAAAAAATGTTACTGAGGGACCAATACACATATACTCAACACACCCCAATTTAGCATGCAGTGAATGGAGGACCCAACCTCCATACGTTGTTCAAGTCCTGGGCCTGTTCACTGCCTTGTCCTCGGATGGCAACCAGGAATGGTACCCATTGCTGCTCTGATCAAGGAGAGAGCAGGCAAGTCTCTGTACCCCAGGTTTTCCTTGCCTGTTTCAGAGAATGTTCAATGACCAGAATTTTTTAATTGTGGTAAAATACATATGAAGTAGAATGTACTGTTCTCACCATTTTAAAGTGTAGGATTCAGTGGCATTAAGTGCACACATCATATTGTACAACCACCATCTCTGATTTCCCAAACGTTTTCATCCCCGCAAAAGGAAGTCCTGTACCCATTAAGCAGTCACTCCCCACTCCCCCCACCTCCAGGCCCTGGCAACCATGAATCTACTTCATCTCTATGCATTAACTTCTGAACTTTTCATATGGATGGAATCGTATAACATGTGGCCTTTTACAGCTGGCTTCTTTTGCTTAACGCAATGTTTACTAGGTTTGTCCATGTTGTAGCTATTGTGGCACGAGAGAACTGAGACACCACCAGAGCCAAATTAAAGCCAAATAGAGAGCAAAGCCAGCCGGTGACTGATCCCCAGTTCTCAGAGATCAGCCCCGACTTTCAGATGATTTTTTATTTTAAAGGGGGTTTGTTACAAACTTCTGCAGCTGGCATTTCTCTTTGGCCTTGGGGGAGAGCAAGCAAGTACAGAGGTGGAGGCAGTTAGCGATAAACAGGAGGGAACAAAGGTGGGAGGGAGCTGAGGCGGAAGGGAACTGGGTGAACTGGGTCAGCACACATCTATCCTGCTGGTCATTTTATTTTCTAAGTTCTAAAAATGAACAAATTCTCCTAGAGGACACATTCATTTAGAGGAGTATCAGGCCAGCCGGTACTTCCTCAGGTTGCCTCTGAAAGCTTCATAGTTGGCCTTTTGTTTGTTTAATCAGGACAAAGTGATAGGAGCAGGCCAGTATAGTAGCACGTGCATTTTATTCCTTTCTGTGGATGAATAATATTCCATTGTAAGGATAGAGCACATTCTGTTTATCCACTCATGTGCTGATGGGCACCTGGGTAGTTTCTACCTTTTGGCTATTGTGAATTGTGCTGCTATGAACATTGGCACACAAGTATATTTGAGTCCCTGCTTTCAAGTCTTGTGGGTACATACATAGGAGCAGAATTGCTGGGTCATATAGTAACTGTGTATAACTTATTTGGCCAGTATTTTACCAGCTTCCAACTTGATCAGAGACTACAGCCACCTTTTCCAGATCTTCATGTTTTTTCTATATTGAAATGAGCAGGAAGACCTGTTACCTGCAGCAAGGGACATAAATGAAAATGAGACCTAAGGTGAGGCCACCTTTACTCCATGATGAAAATAGCTACAATGCTAGATTACAAAGGGGAATATCTTTATAATTGCACCACTGAGCTGGAAAAGTAGTAGGGACCTTCAGAAGTAGAGAATGTAAAAGTATGTTATCTTGAGAAGCTGGTATGAAGCTAAGTTCTTGCCTTGAGGGTTTCTAAGGAGCGTTAAATGATCTTGAGCTTGTTTGATGGTGGAGATATGGGGGATGAAAGAGAATGATGGTGGAGATATGAGGGATGAGAGAAAGCCTAGGGCTCAGCTGAGACCAGAGTGGAAAAGGTGGCCCTGTGTAACACAGGGATGCTGAAGGTTATCTCTTTGGAAGAATGAGTAAAAAGTAAACCTGCTGCCCAGGTGGGGACAAGAAGCTTGCATGTCTGTGTCAAACTCCATACTAAGTGTGTGTATGTGGAGGGGGTGGGGGGGCTAGTTCTCTCTCAAGAGTTGCAAACTACATGTAGGCACTCTTAAATTAAGATTCTTCATCCAAATTTCCATGTTGTGTATGATGAAAACCCACAAGTGGATAATTTAATTCAAAGTGATACTCTAGGGTAGCACTCCAAGGAAGAGGAAATAATGACAGATATACGCCATGGAGGGATGTGGAGGGAGGTAAGCAAAGACATCACTCCATATGTGGACAAATCTAAATAAATGTTGATGATATGAAACCTCAAAAATGATGTCTAATTTGTGGAAAAGAAAAAAAAAAATAAAGTGGACAGCAGCTTTAAAGCACAAAATGTCAGTAATCATAACAGAAAAAGGACCAATTTTTTCTGTTAAAGACAAAGACTGTTGGATTTCCTGAGACAATACCAATTTCAGAGTGCCAAAGTCCATGAAACAAAGGGAAGCATTACTATGATGAGGTCCATGTTCTTCCTACATCAACTGAAACCCAGGTTGCTGTAGCTCCACCCTTCAATTTCTAAATCTATTTACCGCGGGTTTCCCAGCTTAAGGATTTAATTGAGCAAAAAGCAATTTTGAATACTTTTGCCCCATAATCACCATAAAACATATACTACTATCTATATGCCAATTTCATAAAAGTCATTTAAACTCTAATTCAGGAAAGCAAGTTTCTCAGAAAATAAGACAGATTTTCCCAAGAAAAGACTCTTGAAGACCTTATATACAATGTGTATATATATTACAGTGTTGGTTTATTTATTTATTTTTATTTTATTTAATCCTCACCCGAGGATATTTTCTATTTATCTCCAGATTGAGTGGGAGGGAGGGAGGGAGAAGGAGAAAGGGAGAAAGTACAGTGATACCTCGGTTCTCGAACATAATTCGTTCCAGGAGGACGGTCGAGAACCGAATTGTTCGAGAACCGAAGCAATGAAACCCAATAGGAAAGCGTGACTCCACAAAGCGTGACTCTCTCTCTGCACTCACGCTGATGACGCAAGCAAGGCGCGCTGGGCCGAATGAACGCCATTCGGCTCAACTCGGCTCATCTCGGAAGTTCGAGTTCCAAATATTTGTTCGGATTCCGAGACAAAAGTTTCTCGAATCTCCTGGTCGAATACCGATTTGGTCGAAAACCGAGGCGTTCGAGAACCGAGGTATCACTGTACGACACGAGAGGGACACATAGACTGGCCACTTCCCGCATAACCCCAACCAGGGCCGGGGAAGAACCACAACTGAGGTACGTGCCCTTGACCAGAATTGAACCAGCGACTCATTGGTCAGCGAGCCGACACTCTAACCGCTGAGCCAAAAGAGACAGGGCAAGTGACTGATGGTTTATTTGAAAGGACACAGTCCATGGCCCACCACCAGTGTGGCCTAAGTTCTACACCCATGCAGTTGTGAAGTCCAAGTATAACCTGCATTCACACCTCTGCCAGGTGATCCTACACTCCTACCCTGTGAACAAGCAGATCAGCTGGGGGACCAGAGTCAGGGTGGGAAAGAAGCTGAGCTATGTGGCTTTGTGGGAACGGGGGTAAGGATGGGATATGAGTGGGGAGCCCCAGCCACTTCAGGTCCCCAATGCTAATGCCAGAAGCAGGAAATAAAAGAAAATATCCCTGCAAAAAGCAGCCTGGGTTGCTAGAACATTTCTATTCCTAAAGAGCCTATAAATCTTTTGCATGTATATAACTGAGACTTAATACATAATCCTAACAAATAATGTTGAGACAACATTATCACACAGAAATCTTAAGTGGAAAAAGCTAGAAGAAAAATAATTCATAGTTTGACTTCCATTCCTTCTGGACACGTGCTTACATTCTTTCAAATAGAAAACCATTAAAAATGAAATCTAAATTACTTAGCTTCACCAACTTCCTGTACCAGTTTTAGTTAACACTGACTATCTCAACAGTGGCAGGTGTACTTCCTTCTAAGGTTTGTTTTTAGCTGTCAAGCGAATCAAGCTTCAAAAACTACCCAAGAGTGACCTCCTGTGGCACCATTAAGGATTTTTTTTCCCACTGGTAACAAATCAACCCTCAAAGCTTTTTCGAAGGCAGTAAGTTCCAATTTGTGAGCTAGATATGTATTTTCTTTTGTAAAATATGACTTTTTGCATCAAGCAAAGAAGCCACAGATAATGTGAACTGCACATTATCATGTGTTACCTGTGAGGCTGTTCAGTCAGTTGGGAAACAGCTAAGTCCAGAATATGAGGATAAAAATATGCAGCAGAAACTGGGGAAAGGGGAAAAGGAGGTGACAAAAGAATCACCCCTGAAAACCTCTGCCTTTCCTGGCAGGGGGAGCAGGGGTGGGACTGCTCCGAAGGGGTCTGAGCAAATAGCATCTCCATGCCACCTACTTACTCTGATAGTTGATTCTGCCCTTTTTAAAAATGTCTTTTTAGCCTGGGCGGTTTGGCTCAGTGGTTACAGCACTGGCCTGCAGACCAAAGAGTCACAGGTTCGATTCAGGTTAAGAGCATGTATCTCAGCTGCAGTTTGATCCCCGGCCCTGGTTGGGGTTGTGCAGGAGGCAATGAATCGATGTGTCTCTTTCACATTGATGTTTCTCTCTCTCGCCATCCCTCCCTCCCTCTCTATCTGAAAATCAATGGAAAAATATCCTCGAGTGAGAAAAAAAAAAAAAAATATATATATATATATGTTTTTATTGACATTTTTTAGAGAGAGAGGAATGGAGAGAAACACCAATGTGAGAGAGAAATATCACTCAGCTGCCTCATACACGCCCCCTACTGGGGATCGAGCCCGCAACCTTGGCATGTGTCTCTCTCACATCCATGTTTCTCTCTCGCCCTCCCTTCCTTCCTCTCTCTAAAAATCAGTGAAAAAATATCCTCAGGTGAGGATTAACAACAACAACAACAAAACTCCTGCAGAAAATAAAAATACACAAAGGGAAGAAATAAAAACTTGGGGAAGTATCTGCACCCCCCATCCCCACACACATGAGAAACAAAGGTGTGACCTCTTGCCTGTGTGGCTCTCCTCACAAGCCAAACGAAAAGGCCTCCAGTCAACAGAACCATAGGCAAAAGGTAAGAACAAACCTTCATTGAAAATCAACATGCCTGATTACCAACAGCAACCCAGCATCAAAAGGTTTTCAGTGATAGAGACGAATGTTCATGGTGCTTTATGTGCCCACAAGCAAGTCTATGATGAAAAAAAAGAAATAAACCAAGCCAACCACCTCGAACATGTCTCTGAAGAGACATCTCCTCAAGAAAACCTCAGGCAGGTCCTTCAGGAGGTGTTCTAGAAGGCGGCATTGTTGTCATGAGATGAAGACCTTCCAGCGGGCGCATGGGTGGAGGTGGGAGACAGTGATATTGACAATCCTTGCCCTGAGCAGGACTAGGCTAATGTGTGCATTTGTGTCTTAGTTTTTAACAAAAGACTTTAAAAAGTAAAAAACAAATTAATTTAAAAAAAGTAAAATCCTTCTAGTATAAGGATATAAAAAATATTTTTATATACCTGTATAATGTGTCTGTTTTAAGCTAAGTGTTATTACAAAAGAACCAAGAATTTAAAAGAATTTTCAAGTTTATAAAGGAAAATAATTCCAGTAAGCCAAGGTTAATCTCTTACTGAAAAAATATATATATTTTTTTATCCTTACCTGAGGACATTTTTACATTTCTCTTCAGATAGAGCTCAAGGGAGAGAGGGAGAGAGGGAGGGAGAGAGGGAGGGGGAGGGAGGGAGGGGGGAGGAAGGGAGAGGGGGAGGGAGAGAGAGGGGGAGGGAGGGAGGGAGGGAGAGAAAGAAGCATCAACTGGTTGCCGCCCATTCGACCCCAACTGGGGGCCGGGGACAAACTGCAACCAAGGTACATGCCCTTAGTAGGAACCGAACATGGAACTCTCTGGTCTGTGGGCCGACGCTCTAACCTCTGAGCCAAACCAGCCAGGGCTTGAATATATTTTTAAATCAGTGCAAGTGTGCAGTAAACTACAGTAGCCCTAGGCCCTGTTATGTACTAACCCTCACTCACAGAGTCACCCAGAATACCTTCCAGTCCTGCAAGCTCCATTCATGGTCAGTGCCCTGTACAGGTTACCATTTTGCATCTTTCATACTGTATTTCTAGTATACCTTTTCTATGTTGAGATGCACAAATACCACGGTGTTATAACAGCCTACAGATTCAGTACAGTAACATGATGCACAAGCTTGGAGCCTAGGAGCCACAGGCTAGACCATAGAACCTGGGTGTGTAGTAGGCTAGCCCATCTAGGTTTGTGTAAGGGGTGTTCACACAATGACGAACTGGCCTAAAGACACATTTCTCAGAACATATTTCCCACATTAAGTGATGCATGACAGTACAAACACCACCACCTAATGAGTGAGGGATGGAGGAAACTGGTCAAAGGAATGATAATTCACAGACAGTGGAATATTACCCAGATGTACCAAAAACAACGGAGCAAATTAAGTTTTAAGAAAAGCACAGTGAAGAAGTACGCCATGTTACCATGTGTGTGAAATAAAAAGGGAGACAGATACATGTTTGAATAATGTAATTTTGACATGTGAAAGAGGTCTCCAAAGAGGGGGAAATGAGGGATGCTACTCTGTTTGAATGTTTGCTAAGAGCATTCTATTTTTAGACTATATATTAAAAAATGGGGTTGCGATAGGAAAAGGCCACCAACGTTGCTGGAATCTATTATTCTTTTGACTTATTAGCTGCCAAAGTAATTTTTTCTGTTTTAAAAAAAATGACACATATTGTGTGGTTCCACTTATATGAAATGTCCAGAGAGGCGATTCCATGGACAGAAGGTAGATGAGAGGCTGCCAGGGGCTGGAGGGAGAGGGAATGAATGGGGAGTAACTGCTAATGGGTATAGTGTTTCCTTCAGGGATGATAAAAATGTTCTGGAGAATTAGATAGTAGTGATACACAAATCTGTGAATATAATGAAAACCACTAACTGTGTATTTTAATTTTTAAAAAAAATTTTTTAGAGAGAGAGGAAGGGAGAGAAATAGAAACATTGATGTGAGAGAGAAACATCAATCAACTGGCTGCTGCATTCCCCCTACTAGGGATCGAACCCTCAACCTGAGCATGTGCCCTGACTGTGAATCGAACCTGCGACCTTTTGGTGTACAGGACAACACTTAACCAATTAAGCCACACTGGCAGGGCTTCCCTGTCTTCTAAAGCAGACAACACTCATAGTTGTCTTATACCTGGAGGACCTGGCTGGGGGCACAACATGGTGCTGCTCCCCACCCTGGTGCTGCCTGGCTGGGGTCTTTGCAAATCAACTTTCTGCTTCTGTCTTTTACATATCTGTGACCTCCTTCAATGACCACTTCCTGCTGCTGCCAGAGACCCTTCTCCAGCTGTGCCCCATTTTTCCTCCTGTTCTGTGCTGGGAACCCACACAGCAGTGAACAGCAGCTTTGCACAAAGGGGCTCTTCTCAGAATCAGGACCTTCACTTTCTGAACTACTCCAAAGCTTTGAAGTTTAATTTTAGGTCCCTAGCTGGGCTGCAGGTAGATGAGGGAGCCCAATGAGGGTGGGCATCTGCATTTGAAAGATGTCCCAAAGCTTGATGGCCACTGGTCTCTTGTGGCACATTTTACTTCCTGGCTTTCTCACTGGGCTGGGGACAGAGGTCTCTTTTACCTCTCCCTTCTTGGAAGCATCTACCTGGGCGTTAAAACTCCATTCTACTTTTGCTTCCTTCCCAGGTGGCAGGGGCACAGTTCTACAAGGTCACCTTGCGTCACCATGCCCCAGGCAATAGAGCACTCCCTGTACTGATTGTTCCTTAACTCCTTGAGTCTGCAAAGACCTTCCATTTGCTGCTCAGTACCGCTTTCTTATGCCATTCATTGTGCCTGCACTCTGATGCTAACGCTGCAATGTCAGTTTCTGTTCAACTTACTCATGTAGCTAGTAACTGTTCCATCACCACAGAGCTGACTCTCTGCTGCCCAGTGACCTGGATCAGCAGGCACTGGGCCTGTAGACTTGTCTCTCTGTAGCAGCTTTGCAGCCTGGGACCAATTTTAATGAGAATTTTCTCCTTGTAGTGGTTCCCGCACCATGGAGAGAGGGGATATCCTATCACACATGTACATGTGGCACAGACCTTCGCTTTGAAGTCTCTTGGGTGCGTATTTTCTCCCCCCATTGAAAGATCCTGCCTACCTTTTGGCCCCGCCTGCGTCAGGGGAGACGATGATACAGTTCTTCCAGTCGCTGATGTTCTCTCGAATCCACTGCAGGACCGCAGGCTCCGCGTACAAGTTATCCACGGGAATATCAAAGAACCCCTGTGGGGAGAAGTGCGTGTCACACCGCATGCCTTTTGAAGATAAATAAAATTTGAATTTTTTTAATCCAAAGGAAGCCTTTTTAACGATCTCCGTTTTCTTCATTTTAACAGAGTTAAACCAAAAGACACATGTTCTAGGAGCATATTTCAGTTCCATCTGTGATCTGTGGGGACACATTCTATTACTTTATGATTGCCTATATTCTAAGGAATAAATACAGAATGGGTGCAGAGCAGTGGGGGAGGTTTGTTCTATCTCACAGAGTAGGCACGGGACAATCTGGCCTGTTTGCTAGATGAAGAAACTAAGTTATGAAGAGGTTAACAAACAGATTATGACTCTGCCATCCTAATTATTTCCCCAAAGTTGAGATGGAAATATAGCATTTACTACCAAGTAGACATTCCTACTTTCCCAAAACTGCCTGGAGATAGGGGGTGGTAGAGACAGGTGATATCAACATGAAATTATATTTCCAAGTTCAGTAAAGATGAAAAGCCGAGAGTTGTCATATACAAACTCAAACATGAGTCATGTTACCCTCCTTCAAAGACTATTTAACTTGCCCTGGCCAATATTTCTCAGTGGTTAGAGCGTCGGCCCCAACACCAAAGGGCCACAGGTCCCATTCCTGGTCAAGGGCATGTACCTGGGCTGCAGGTTCGATGCCTGGCCTCAGTTAGGGCATGTGCAGAAGGCAACCAATCAGTGTGTCTCTATCACATCGATGCCCCCCCCACCTTCCTTCCACTCTCTCTAAAAATCAATGAAAAAATATTCTCAGGTGAAGATTAACAACAACAATAATTATTTAACTTAACAGTTTGGATTTAAGCACTTGCATTAAGCCTCCAATCACAACCAAGGGCAAGAAAAAAAAAAAGCCAGAACCTGGATCTGAGAGGCATGCAGGTCCATGGTGATGATGTGATCTGCGCCAGCGACTGACAGCATATTGGCCACAAGTTTTGCAGAAATCGGAGCACGACTCTAAAACATAAAGACATGGATTTTATATCAGGAAAAGGGAAGGGAAGAGAAGGATACTTTTAGATTCCTCTCACTAAGGTTTACAAGAGAAAGATAAATCACACCCGATTTACAACACGTTAAGAAAGAAAATTAACAATTTTAAAATATTAAATTATTTAATTAATAATAATGAAGAAAACGTCATATTGTGCCAACAAACAGCATTCATTCCACTTTATTCGCCAAATATTTACTATTTACATATACTACTGCAAAACAATGTGCTTGGCACTGGGGATAGAGAACCAATGTCAAAGAAGCCAACAATTCAACTGTTTACGTGGAATAGGACAATTTGAACCATTCACATTGTGCCAGGAGTGTAGCAGAGGTATTGAGAGAGACAATGGCACGAAGGACATCAAGTTTAAAGAGGCAGGTTGTATGACAGGTCCCCTGAGGAAGCTGCTTTTAAAGCTGGCAAGGGCAGGGACACCAGCGTTCTGGAAAGAGTAGCATGGGTGACATCACCCAGGCTGGCAGATCACATCCAGGAACTGAACGAAGTCCAGTGTGGTCACAGGCAGTGGCCCAGGGGAGTGTGCAAATGCTGGACGGGGAGGCAGGGCTCCATCCTGCCCAGCCCTGCAGTCCAAGGCCAGCTCTTAAAGATGTGTTTATGGCCTGTAGCTGGGAGCTAATGTTTAATGTTACAAATTAAACAAAAAACAGATGGAAGAAAGAACACCTTAAGAAATGATCTGTCCTTTCTAAAGGGACTCAGCACTAGCTAAGCATTTGACCCCTGCCATTTGGGACCACCTGCTGAAAGACTGACATGAGAAGATATTACATACAAGGATGTCAGAGTTCACAACTAGACCATGCAGTCTTCAAGAGCAAAGAACTGGTTTTGGAGATTTTCACACCAACAGCACATAACTCTGTACCTTGCACACGGTATTTATCTTTCATAAATATTTCATAGTAGAAGCTCTAGAACACCAAGTCTCCAAGGTTTCACCATTGGCGTCACTGGCTGTGAAAATTATTTAGTTTAACAAAATCCCAGGATAATTAAAAGGATAAACTGATCACGGGGACTTCTTTGTAACAGAATCGGACCTGCAACACTAGGCAATTTGGGGCACTTCCTGTAATTTTATAACTGGCAAAAGGATTACACCATTCATCTCTCACAGTGGCATTGAGCACTTCTCACTTCTGAGATCAAAACCACAGGATCTCGTGTACAAGTTGGGTTTTTGCACTGCTTTTCATTATTTGGCTCAATACCGAACTGAATCTCACAGAAAACATGATTTACAAGTTAACTGACTTTATAGCCAATAAAGAGAAAAACTAGTGTGACATTTCAACAACGGTAGAGTCAAAGTACAGTAATCAAATATAAAACGTTCGCCTATCCTAATGAAAAACGGAGTAAGGCCAAATGTTTTCTGGGCCAGCCCAACCATGACAAAGACTCTCTGGCTACTTCAGATCTCATTCAATGTAGCAGATGCCAGCCTGCTAAAAGTACAGATTTGACAATCTTGAAAAATGGACAAGATTGTAGAAATTCATGTCAGGACAACGGTCCTCAATTTTTTCAGTTAAAAAAGAAAAAGACATAATTTCATCATTGAAAAGACAACCGAACCTTGAAAATAGTTTCAAAAAAAGCTACAAGTCTTGCCCTGGCCGGTGGCTCAGTTGGTTAGAGCATCATCCCATACACCAAAAGTTGGGTGTTCAATTCCTGGTCAGGGCATATACTTAGGTTGCAGGTTCAATCCCCAGTTGGGGAGTGTACGGGAGGTAACAAATGGTTGTTTCTCTCCCACATCAATGTTTCTCTCTCTCCCTTCCTCTCTCTAAAATCAATAATCTTCACCAATATCCTTGGGTGAAGATTAAAAAACAAAAACAAAACTACAAGTCTTCTATCACCTCTGAAGTAATTATTTGCAACTCTGTCCATGTCATACTGCTTTTACTAGGAAAAGAAACCAGCAGTTACTGAGTGTCCCCTAGAGCAGGCGTCAGCAAATCCAGATCCATGGGCCAAGCTCATGCTCTGGTTTTGTATACCCTGTGAGCTAAGAATGGATTTTATGTTTTTAAGCGGTTGAAAAACAATCAAAAGAAGAATATACTGTGACATTTGAAAAGTACATGAAATTCATATTTCTATGTCTATCAAGTTTTGCTGGAACACAGTCATCCCCCTTCAGTCCATATGATATATGGCTGCTTTCATGTGGAAACGGTGGAGCTGAGTCATCTGTCGCTACTCAGTGGTCCGCAAAGCCTAAAACATTTGACACCTGGTTCTTTTTGAAATAAGTCTGCTAAGCACTTTATAAATAGTAGCAAATATCATCCTGAATTTACGGATGTGGAGAGTAAAGGCCCAAAGGATTTAAGTTACTCTTCTGAAGCACAAAGTGGGTGAATAACAATGCTGAAATTCACACCCAAGTCCACCCGATTCCAATGCTGGAGGCCAGAGCTCAAACCGCCCTGCACCATACCTTCTGCAATTAACACCAGTCGTCACCATTTTCCATGGTAGTGTGACATTGTGTTGAAGTGTCACATTCACCCGACCCTTCCTTCACTGTCAGAACTGGGCCCTGGTTTCTTGCACATATAAATAAAACCAAAAATACAACTTGGTAGGTGTGCTGGGCTTGCTCAAAAAGAACCAGTGAGGTTGAAAAATGATAAAACAAGCTTTGAATATGGTTAGAAGGCTCCAGCTTTTTCTGGACTCCTTTACAGATAACTCTAAGTAGATCAAGCGCCTGGAGCTTCTCTGGCTTAGACGTCACAGACAATCCAGTTCTCTGAGCCCATGCCCTCCCATCACCTTCAAACACTACATGACCTTAAGCCTACCTAAGTGAAGCCAAAAAAAGGAAGTGTTTCCCCCATCACTTGGGGTCTCCCCGTTGCTCACCCTTCCAGGTAAATGAAGTGTGCTCACAGGCTCAGGTCGTTTCTCTCAAGCTCTTACTAAAGCCCTTGTTACCCCACTTTGATATCCTTTCCCAATACAAAGCCAATCCATCTGATCTAAGAAATGGTTCAAAAAATGATGAACAGCTATCAGCAGCAATGTTCAAAAGACAAAGGCATGCCTCAAATGACAGACAAAAGTCAGAATTGCCCTTTCGACCCATCTGGTGAAAGAATGAAACTATCTATTTATTATAACATAAGCCACGCTGACAACACAGACATGGCAGACAGAAGCGCCAGAAGTATCTATATGTCTTGGCCAACTCCAAGGTCAGTCCCAAAGCTAGAGGCCTACAAAAGGGAGGCTATGTGTCAGAATCACCCGGGACAGCCAGGGTGGACACGTTCCCTGGTATAATTATTCGGAGAGCTCCTTTCAAGCTGTCACGTGTCCTGGCTTAGATGATAAGTGATACAATAATGACACTATCGCAAGACTTGAACTGTCCTTCAAATGTTCACTTCTTAACACATCAATGACTTCCTTCCACAGGTCTTGCAGTGAGCTGAATGGTGACCCCAAAGACATCATCAGGTCCTAATCCCTGAAACCTGGGTAAGTGCTACCGTTTTTGAATACAGCGTCTTTGCAGATGTGATTAAGTCAATGGTTCTGAGACAGGGCAATTATCCTACAGGGCTGGGATGCTATCACGTGTCCTTCATGAAGGAGATGTGATGGAGAGAAGAGGAGGTGGCCACGTGAACATGGAAGCAGAGGTGGGAGCCATGTGGCCTCAAGCCAGCAGCTGGAACAGGACAGGAAGGACCCTGTCCTGGAGCCTCTGGATGGAGCCCTTCCCTGCCTTGATTTCAACTTCTGGCCTCCAAAGTGTGAGAGAATATCCTTCTGTTGTTTTAAGCTGCCCAGTTTGTGGTGATTTATTATGGCAGCCACAGGCAATTCGTACAGCCCTCCATGATTCGTTCCTTGCCATCAGTTTCTCTAACAGGAGGCACAATTACAGCCCAGTGATGGAGAAAGGGGGAAGGGGAGGAAAGAAACGGGTGATTGAAATGGCTCCACATGGCAAACCCATGTACACGTCCCACAACGGGAAACCGGGTAAAGCGCCAGTCAGACGACACAGTGCCACAGGACAGCTAACCCACTAGGGTTTTCAGGGTTCTGTGGGGCTCTTTTTGTCAGTACAGAGGCAAGGGCCACTGCTGGCCATCAGTGACCACAGGCCAGGAGAGCGTCACATCCCCTGCAGGCAGGTAGACCAGCCAAGGCCAGATTCTCTATACAACAAAGGCCGCATTGTGAATGCACGGAAGAAACAAAGCTTGAAAATGCAACCTTGCGAACAAAGAATGTGGGAGTCTCTCTACTTTTATCAGTTAAAGAAAAAGTTACGGTACAGTGGGAACAGGCCTTGGAATTATAAAACAAAAAAAAATGTCTTCAAGAAGATAAAATTAGCAAGTATCTTAGCCCCAAATGCAAAAGCTACTAGCGGTGCAAGGAGAACCTGACTACAAACGACAGGATCAACAACTGACGAAACCTCACGCAGAATATTAGTTCCTTTATGACATGGCCAAGGATGTGGTGCTAAATCATCCAGTGGAAACACAGATGGGAGGAACAGTTCAGACTACACTGATGGGACAAAATTAATAAACTGAAATTCAGCAGCAACAGAAAAGGCTTGCTGAGCCCTTCTAATCTATATGTGGTCAATTGTACGTCAAGTGCAGAACGGAGATCAAGATTCCACTGAGAATTAACTAAACTGTGTTCAGCATTGGGTATGGAAACCCAACCACCTTGGTATATGAATTCAAATTTAGAAAGATAATTTTTTCATACATGAGGGGATCTTGTGTGCTGTTCAGAAATTTGCATTGTTTCAGAACATGAATTACGAAGATAAATGGAGGTGTAATGGGGAAAAGCTTTCTTACAACTAGCCACCACATCACAGAAGAGCAGTGTGTCTTATAAACTGGAAGGATTCGTGTGGAACCTGACTGCACATCCATTTATAAGCTATCGAGCAGAGAACAGCTTAAAAATTGATGCCTGGCCCAGCCAGTGTGGCTCAGGGGTTGAGCACCGACCCATGCACCAAGAGGTCACCGGTTTGATTCCTGGTCAGGGCACATGCCCAGGTTGTGGGCCAAATCCCCAGTGGGGGGCATGCAGGAGGTTGCCAATTGATGTTTGCTCTCATCGATGCTTCTATCTCTCTTCCTCTCCTGTACCCTCTCTCTAAAATCAATAAAGAAATTAAAACAAACAAACAAACAAACAAACAAAAAACTGATGCCTGTAGCAGGCTGAATGGTATCCCTCAAAACTCATGTCCACCCAGAACCTCGAAATGTGACCTCATTTAGAAATGGGGTTTTGCAGATATAACGAAGGTAAAGAGCAAGATGAGATCCTTCTGGATTAGGGTGAGCCCTAAATCCAATGACTGTTCTTTTATAAAACAAGCAAGAACACACAGAGACACATAGGGAAGAGGGCCATGTGAAGACAGAGACAGAGATGGCAGTGATGTCAGCAGAAGCCAAGGAATGCCAGGAACCACCAGGGACCAGAAGAGGCAAAGAAGGATTCCCCCTAGCATCTTGACAGGGAGTGTGACCCTGCCCTGACTTTGATTGCTGACGTCTAACCTCTAGAATGGGGAGAGAATACATTTCTTTTCTTTTAAGCCACCCAGCGTGTGGGAATTCATTACAGCAGCCCTAGGAGACTAATACAATCCCCTTTAAAATTCCTCTCCAACTTCTCCAATTTTTCCACAGGCCACTCTTATCATGCTAGTGATGCTAAAAGAATAATTCAATGACGTTAGCTTCATTCTCTTGAAAGGTTATAAAGAGATAATGATAAGAAACAATGCAGCCCTGGCTGGGTAGCTCAGTTGATTGGAACATCATCCTGTGCACTATAAGGTTGTGGGTTTGATTCCCAGTCAGGGCATGTATGGGAAGCAACTGATCAATGTTGCTCTCTCACATAAGTATTTCTTCCCCTTCCTCTCTCTCTAAAAATCAGTAAGAATATATTCTCACTGAGGATTAAGAAAAAAAAAGAAACAAAAACGAACAAACAAAAAAACAATGTAGAGATCTGATGTGTCCTTCACCCAGTTTCTCCCAATGATAACATTTTGAAAAACTATGGTACAATATCCCAGCCAGGATACTGGTGCTGATCCAGTCCAGTGACCTGATTCCCACTCCCCCACTTTTTTGTGCTCACTGAGTGGGCATGTGAGTGGGTGTTTAGTTATATCCACCGCCACAAAGATATACAACCACTTCATCACTATAGGACAGCGATTTTCAACTGGTGTGCCACAAGAATTTTTAATACATGCAACTGACCTGTTTCCTCTTAGACTGTCAAATAAAAAATAACAGCCAATACAATGGCCATCTTATGCAAATGAATCAAAATTATGCCTATTTTTTGTCAGATCAGCAAAAAAATATATATTTTTTGGTGTGCCAGAGAGTTTATAATTAGTTTATGTGCCATGAGATGAAAAAGGTTGAAAATGGCTGCTATAGGATTATAATGGTATTTTAATACCTGCAAAAATATGATTAACCTGTTTCTTTTTTTTTAAATATTTTTATAGATTTTTTTTTAGAGAGAGATGAAGAAAGAGATAGAAACATCAGTGTGAGAGAGACACACTGATCGGCTGCCTCCTGCATGCCCCCACCTGGGGATTGAGCCCACATCCCGGGCATGTGCCCTGACCGGGAATCAAACCTGGACCTCTCAGTCCATGGGACGATACTCAATCCACTGAGCCACACCGGCCGGGCCTTGATCTGTTTCTATATCTACAAATGTTAACAAGACAGCTGCTTCAAAGACAAACCTTTGAAAAAGCCAAGGTGAAAAAGCATGTTTACTTGATCATTAAAATAGAAGGCAAACATTTTCTAGCTGTTCTAAGGTAGTGAGAAAAAAATGTCAACGTTAACCCATAGCAGGTTCCTCCAACAGGAAGCAGCTCTCATACCCTGTCCTTTTTGTCTTGGCGGGCGTAAGGAAAACACGGGATCACCGCGGTCACCCTAGACGACGATGCGATCTTGCAGGCGTTGATCATGATGAGAAGTTCCATCAGGTTGTCATTGATCTCTCCACAGCCACTCTGGATGATATAAACATCTTCGCCTCTCACACTTTCACCAATCTCCACGCTAGGAGAAGAAAAATGCCGTCCATTAATACTAAAGTGTATTTGTGTTGTGGGGGTTCCCCAAGACCCCTCAGGGTTGACGACTGACCAGGACTGAGCAGAGAATTGTACTCAGGGCTATGATTTCTTACAGCAAGAGGATACAGTGCACAAGATTCCAAGAGTTGTCCCCAATGAAGTCACACAGGTTGAGCTTAATTTCCCCAGCAATAAGCTGTGACAACTGGTGTGAAGCACTTGCTATCTACCAAGGAAGCTCATTGGAGACTCAGTGCCTGGGGGGGTTATCAGGGAGCTGGTCACTTAGGAACCTTCTGCCTGGAACACACCAAAATTCGACTCCCAGGCATTCAGCATTAACCTCACTGTTCTCGAAGTAAGCCCCTCCTATCAGGGAACGCGGGAAACCCTTGCAAAAGCTAAGCTCCCAGAGGCCAGCCTAGGGCCACCTAGCAAGCAGGCCCTTTTCTTACAGGCTCCTTAGAAATTGGTCTCGGTCTTGCTGTTTATGCTCTTCTGCTAAATATATTTCATTATTGATGTTTACTGAAGTTACATATGCACATTGCTTTAAAAATTCAAATAATTCCATAAGGCTTATAACAAACAGCCCAGAGGCAACCAATTTCAACTCTTGATACGGTTTTTGATATTTATCTTCAAGTCTTTAGCTAATGTTTGCACGGCTTTATCTTGATTTCTTATTTTAGGCATCATGTGTTGACACCTCGCTATGAAGATGAGGACTTAACTCTATTTCCTCTTTGTCCCATCACCTGCTTCTGATGCAGCCTCCCCACCTCATCTGGCCGTCATCCCAACATAGACCAATATTCTAGCCAAATAGGAGCACTACATTGTAACTGTAAATAATGCTCAGAGCTGAGCCTGTCTAGTAAACCTAAAGCAAAGTTTATAATATTTCCCTTTTATGCACAATTTTTAGCGGTTTGTTTTCCCTGGAGGAGATATTATCCTATCTCTTCATCTGCTAAGTGTTCTAAGTACTCAATTCAAATTCCATTCTAAACACTTGGCTAACAATCTAAATCCCACAAGGTCAGAGGCCTCAAGTGTGGTATCTACCTCACTGCCCTGCCTCACCTTGCCCAGGGCTGCCTGACATGGGCCTTTTCAGCCAGTGCCCAGCTGCCCCCGCCCCAGGGGATTCCATCCACCCCTCCGCCACACCCCATTTCCCACTTTCTGTACCCTTTCTTGGTGTACTTCCTTGTTTTGCTGACTGGCACCCTGTGGTAGCTTCGTGAGAAGAGTGAATCGGAATTTTGAAAGTCTCTAAAAACGGCATGTTGGAAAATGTATTTCAGGTATAGCATTCTGAGTGTTCACCCTGAGAGGCAGCCTGCCCATTGCTGGCACATGCTTTCCATAGGACGGAAAGCAAAATCGCTCTGTGTACTCAGACTTGTCCTTCACAGAGTGCTGCTGAGAACCTAGGACATCGTCAGCTTTGCTCCAGTGTTTGTTTTCAAAAGGCAAATTTGGCCCCGGCGGGTGTGGCTCAGTGGTTAGAGTGTTGGCCCGCACACTGAAGGGTCATAGATTCGATCTCTGGTCAAGGGCATGTGTCTGGGTTGCAGGTTCATTCCAGGCCCTGGTTGGGGCATGAGAGATGTATGTTTCTTTCTCCCTCTCTCTTCTCCTCTCTCCCTCTCTTCCTTCAAAAAAAAACTCAATGGAAAAAATATCCTCGGGAAAGGATTAACAAAACAAAACAGAAAAGGCAAATCTGTTCCAGTGATGGATATATTAGAAACAATTTGAGCATAACATGAATTTCGCATTTGCTTTCCCAGGACCTCTCATCCTGAGATGAGAATGCAGAAGTCTGCACCCAGCTAAAATGAAGATATTGAGAAATACTCCACACACACACACCCCCTTTGCAACAACAGCCATACCCACCCACACCTGTCACAATGTTCCCCCACCCTTTCAGATCACCCTCCTTCAAATTCCTCACAATTCAAGCTGCAACCATTCCGAGACCCACTTCATCAAGCTAACTGCAGGTCTTTTTCAACATAATGTGTCATATTTATTGTAGGATTTATAAATTTTTTAAACAAGTGATTTTGGGGAGACCGTACAGTAGCCTACCTGCATCAACAGAAACTTTAACTCAACCTCAAGTAGATTAGAAGACAAAAATGAAGTTTTCCAAGTTGACATGATCTGAAAATGAGTTTTGGTAACAGTGGGTCATATTCTTGCATGTGCTCGGCTATGGATAAAAACTGTACAATACCAACTTCAAGATGAGAGGGACAGAATTCTATGTACTCCCTCCTATCTCGAGTACAAAGGAGCTAAATGGAATTCCTTTGTGAATATCACATCAGGTGTGGGATGAAGTCAATTTGGAAGTCAGAGTATTATATAGCTCTGGGGCTGACGATCTACAGTCCATGGGCTGAGAATGATGTAACAGGTAGAACAATGGCCTCCTAAAGACATCTTTGTCTTAATCCCCTGAACCTTTGAATCTGTTAGTTTACATAGCAAGGGGAACCAAGGTGGCAGATGAAATTAAGTTTACTAATCAGATGATCTTAAAATAGGGAGACTAGACCGGCTGGTGTGGGTTAGTGGATGGAGCGTCATCCCATGGACTGAGAGGTCCCGGTTCCATTTGTTCCATTCCAGGGCAGGACACATGCCTGGGTTTCAGGCTCAATCCCCAGTAGGGGGTGTGCAGGAGGCAGCCGATCGATATTTTTCTCTCACATTGATCTTTCTCTTTCTCTAAAAAAATCAATAAAAACATATTTAAAAAATAAGGAGACTATTCTGGATTGTTCTAGTTGATCAATGTAATCACAGGGTCCTTAAACATGGAAGAGGGAGACAGAAGAGGTCAGAGAAAAAAGTGAAGACTGAAGCTGGGTCAGAGAGTTACTTCGTTGCTGGCTTTGAAGACAGAAGGAGCCAAGAGCCAAGGAATGCGTGTAGCCTCTAAAAGCTGGGGGAGGCCAGGGAACGAATTCTCCCCTAGAGCCTCCAGAAAGAACAGTGACCCATATGGACCCATGATGCTACAGAGACGACAGGGGCCTGTGAAGCCTAAAAGAGTAACTCTCCAGCCCTTGACAGAAAAAGTTTGCCAATTCCTGGTGTGGTAACTATTTATCACCCTCTTTGGCCTATTTTTCCTCAGGAACCTCCATCCTCATATGACTAGCAGTCCAGGGGAAGACAGAAGATGCTATTACCATGGCAACTTTTTCTCCAAAGCTATTCCTGCTTCTACTCATAAAGATGATCATGACTGATCTTCATTCTAGGACATTTTTTTTTTTTTAGAAAGTCTTATTGAATTTTTTTATTGATTTTTTTAAAAGTCTTCACCAGAGGATATTTTTTTCCATTGATTTCTAGATAGAAAGGGAGGGACGGTGAGAGGGAGAGAAACAATGATGTGAGAGAGACACACCGATTGGTTGCCTCCTACACAACCTGGACAGGGGCTAGGGATTGAACCTGCAACCCAGGTACTCGTACCCTTAACCAGGAATCAAACCCCCAACCCCTCAGTCTGTGGGCTGACACTCTAACTGCTGAGCCAAACTGGCCAGGGCTTTACTGATATTTTTTAGAGAGAGAGGAAGGGAGGGAGAAAAAAACGTTGTAAGAGTGAAACATCAATTAGTTACCTCCTGCATGCACCCTACTGGGGATCGACCCTGCAACAGGAATTGATCCAGCAACCTTTTGGTGTGCTGTATGACACCCAACTGGGCCACACTAGCCAGGGCTATTCTAGGACTTTTTCAAATTGTGGCCAGAAGGTAGCATCCATTTGCTCTTCAGATAAAGGATCTTAACTGATCCTGAAATAAGAAGGCTGATGAATTTATCTGAGCAACAAGGAATGGATGTGGTAATTAAAAGATAGCCTCAGACTCTTTCATGCTTTTCCCATCAAGACTACTCTAGGATCTGGATCTGCTTGACAAGAGAATGTGACAGAAATGATGATGCCCAGGCCTTAACAGACTGGTAGCTCCTGGCACCCAGCTTCTATGCCATGAGGAGGAAGCTCAAGCAGCCTCATGGAGAGGTACTGAGGTTCTTGACCAAGCTTCCAGGCAGAAGCTAGTACTAGACTTACCAGCCACATGAGTAAGCCATCTTAAAAGTGGCTCCTCCGCCCTGGCAGGTTTGGCTCAGCGGTTAGAGTGTCGGCCTGCGGTCCAGAGAGACCCGGGTTCGGTTCCCGCTAAGGGCATGTACCTCGGTTGCAGTTTGTCCCCGGCCCTGGTTGGTCGTGCGGGTGGCAGTCACTCGATGTGTCCCTTTCACATTGATGTTTCTCTCTCTCTCTCCCACTCTGTCTGAACAAAAAATGGAAAAATGTCCTCGGGTGAGGATTTAAAAAAAAAAAAAGTGGCTCCTCCAGCCCCAGTTGATTGTCCCAGATGCCACCAAATGGGACAGAAACAATCATTCCTTTCTGAACCCTGCCCAAATTGCAGCTGTGAGAGTCAAATATTGTTTTAAGCCATGAAGTTCTGGGGTGATTTGTGACACAGCAAGATAACCAGAACTTTGGGTCTTAAAACATAGCTAATGACCCTGCGGGCAGGTTAACTGACCAGGATAAAATGTTACAACTCATCATCAGTGCTGTGCTAGGATATCATCATAGCATTTCAGTGATCTACAGTAAAGCTGGGACAGACATCTCCCTCGTATGTGAAATGATTTAGAGATAATAAGGTAAAATCAGGAAGCTCTGTGTCCGATTCCGTAGTGTTTGAAAAACAGGGAATGGGAGTCATAATGACCAGCAGACAGTAAATAAGATTTCTGGTCCTGGCTCAGTAAGAGATTCAGGAAGGGGCCTCTTACATGAACTGAATCAATTCTCTCTTCCTTTCGTCCTTCTGTTTCTGGTCTTAGGAGCTCACAGGAAAAAGTAGATCACTAGTACAGTACCTGGTACTGTTGGTAAAAATCAACCTCAGGACCTACACAGTTCATGGGAAAGAAAAGTCAAGAAGTTAACCTTGTAGAGTCTGGATATTAAAAATGTAAAATGCAATTACATAAGCAATTCCAAGACTTTATGCAGAGTGGTTTTTGAGACTTCAGGATTTCTAATTTCAAGTGGTAGTTATAAATACTCAAAAGCAAATACAATTGAATCTGCTTTAATACTTCAGCGTCTGAGTTTCACGCAACAAAAATCCAACTCTGACTTCACAGTGGACTTCTGATCTAGATTAACCATCTTCTCTAGCAGCAAAAGATTGGGCTGCTCTGAGATAACACGTAAGAGCAATATGTTCTCTTTCAAAATGCACTTCATCCAGAAATTTCTCCTTTACTTATATGACACCACCTCCTGAACTAACACTGTTATCCCATTCTTCTCCTGTTCTTAACAAACTTGAATAACACTGGCAAAAATTATGCAACATTCAAACCTAGCTATGCTATCTTTCCCCTGAGCCCTTGAAATCATCTTGGTCCTCTTGATTCAACTCTGCAAAGACTAATTCTTTAGCTGAAGGACTCCTAGCATGAATACCACCTGCTTCTCAGTCACAAATACCTTCACTTATATTATCATCAGGGCTGTGTAATTATAATTTCCAACCGGGAAGAAGGGATTCACCTCTCCTAAAAAGCTGACAACAAACACTGCCTTCCCCATGTGTGTTAATATAACACCTCAGTATCTAAGAAATGTTTTGCCTAACCCAAGGTCATGAAGATTTTCTCCCATGTTTTCATCTAGAAATTTTTAGTTCTAGGTTTTACATTTAGGTCTATGATCTATTTCAAGTTAATTTCTGAAATGGCGGGAAGTGCGATAGAGGTTCTTTTTTTACAGCTGGCACCAACAGTTTGTTCCAGCACCATTTGATGAAAATGTTGAAGTGGGTCTTGGCCAAAGATAAGAAATAATCAGTAACCGGGTGCAGCGCTAGACATTTAAAGGGGGTGGGGGATGAGACCAACTTGAAATTAGTCCAAGAGCTTTGAGGACTGAGGCAGGTGTAAAAAGGAGCCCGTGACCTGTCTCTGAGGGGGCCACAGCCTGCCCTCACTAAGCAGAGGCAAGCGCTTCTCGTAGACCTGAGGCATGGGTGGCACTTGACACTCCAGCCATAGCCTGGTTGCTGTCAGGACACCGCCAAGTCTCAGAACTGCGGAGGAGCTGAAAGTCCATCATCTGAACCAGAAAAAAAATAAGAGAAAGCACAGGGAAGCCTAGCACGTGCGCCCTGGAGTTCCCACGCTTTTTAAACTCTCCACACAACCACACCCGTTGGTTAACCCAAAAGACTGCACCCTGGCTGCTCAGGCGAGTCACCAGGTGGCTTTGACCACGCTGCTCCCCAGCCTGTGGACTCAGATCCTCCCAGGCAGGGCGGGGAAGCGGGGTATTAAACCGCCTCAGGTGAATCCAGTGCGCAGCCCGAGCGTGGGCGGAACCTTCCCGAGCACGCGGGGTTGGGGATCAGCCGGGCAGGGACACGAAACCGGGCCGAGCACAGCCAGGGCGGCCCTCCCCGCGTACCCTGACCCAGGCGGTTTCCACCGGCTGTGCCCACCGCGCCCCGAGACGCTGTGACCGCCCCCAGGTCGCCCTTCCGGGCTGGGGCCGCCCTCCTCGGCTTTCTGGGGCGCCGTGGCGGTGGCGCGGAGGCCGCGTCGTGACCGGCCCGCCCCGGAAGGGGGGGCGTCCGGCCCCGCAGCCGAGCGCCCGGCGCCCTCCCCGGCCCGGCGGGGTCCCCACCTGGTCTCCTGGTTGCTGAACTTCTTGGTGACCACCTTGCCCAGCTCCAGGCCCAGGCGGTCGGCCACACGCTGGGACAGGTCCTGGTGTGAGCTGCCGCTGAAGAGCACGATGTTGGTCATCTTGAGGCTCGACGGGTGCGCGGTGGAGACGGAGGCAGCGGTGGCACCAGAGCCTGCAGCAGGAGCGGGAAAGCGCGCTGCCGGGCGACGGAGGAACCGCCGGGAATAGCCGTGGGAGGCGGAGCTGCGGGAGGCGGAGCTGGAGGGGCGGGGCGAGACTGGGCGGGGCCAGGGGAGGGGTGAGGGGAGGGGTGAGGGGAGGGGCGGGAAAGCGCGGCGGCTGGAGCGGGCGCTGGAGCCTGGATGGTGGGGCGGAGCCAGGTGAGAAGAGGAGGAAGAAGGGAGTCGGAGAGGGTGGGGGAGGAGGGGTGGAAGTAGAGCCGGAGGGTGCTGGGAGGCAGGGGCTGATGCCAGGCGAAGGGCGGTAGGCTTGGAAGCCCTGGGTGGTCCTGAAGCATTGAGGTGTCTCCTCTCTGGGAGAGCTCCAGACTCTCAGATCTTGACCTTTCGGTCCTGCCTCGTGGGGGGAAGGCAACGAACCAGTAAGTGGACACCGAGGGAGGGTGCTGGAAGAGGCGATGGACGTGCCAGGAGCGCTCCCTTAACCTAGAATATCCTCAGACTCATTTCAGATGACTGGTGTCCGACTACAGGGGTCTGCGAACTGTGGCCCAGGGCCAGGTGCACAGCGCTGCCTCTTTAAACCGGAGAGCCAAGCCTTGTTTTCACATGTGAGCATTTGCAATCTATGTGATAAATGTTCCACTACCTTTGAACTCCCATTAAGAGAAATATCCCCCTCAAGAAACAACTCCTTTCCTCTCATGGGTGTGTACTGCAAAAAAATTGTACTCGATTATTACTATATATGGGATTTTGTTAATAAAAACATTGTGAACAATTTTCTCTCATTATGTAAGTACCTACATAATTTCCTCACCATTTACCTATTGGCCCACAAAGCCTGAATTATCTACCATCCACTCCTGAGCCAAAATTTGCCCATGTATACTTTATACCTACAGCACATCTCAATTTGGATGCTCCATATTTCAAGTGTTCAACAGCCATATGTGGCCAGGAGTTGCCATATTAGAGTGAGAAGCTCTAGACACTGGTCCCTAAGAGCAGTGCCAAGACACACTGATTCATTTAGTCTATTGTATGTTCTTATTAGCAGTGTGACAAATAATTGACAACTCACTATAAAATGCTAAAGTTTATAAATAATTTACTTTAAAATATAAGTTAAAATAGATGTAAGTTATTTTTCTATTGTTACCTTTTCACTCATAAATCAGGTAATTTTTCTGATTTTTATTTCTATATCTTTCCTTTTTCTTTCTATTTAAAGAATTAACAAACAAACAAAAATACAGAGCCCTGGCTGGTGTGGCTCAGTGGGTTGGAGCATCGTCCAGTGCACTGAAAGGTTGTGGGTTCCATCCCTGGTCAGGCACAGTCAGGGCACATATGGGAGGCAACCTGATTGATGTTTCTCTCTCTCTCTCTCTCTCCCCCCCCTCTCTGAAATCAATGAAAAACATCCTCGGGTGAGGATTAAAAAGAAAATACAGAGTATAATGAGCATCCTAAACTGATCACCTTAGACTTAGCAGCTGTCAAAATTTTGCCATATTTGCTTCATCTGCTTTTCTGAAGTATTTTAAATCACTAAATTCTTTAGTCTGCATCTATAAAAAGATAAGGATACCACATCATATACAAAAATTAATTAAAAATGGATTAAAGACCTTAATGTAAGAGCTAAAACTATAAAACTCTCAGAAGAAAATATAGGTATAAATCTTTGTGACCTTGGATTAGACAATGATTTCTTTAATATGGCACCAAAAGCACAAGCAACAGCATGTGACACAAAAAAATAGATAAGCTGAACATCAAAATTAAAAACTATGTTTCAAAAGATTAACAGCGAGAAAGTGAAAAGACAACACAAAGCATGGGAGAAAATGTTTGCTATTCATATAGCTGATGAGAGACTCATATTTAGAATGTATAAAAGTGACCACAACTTAAAAAAAAAAAAAGGCAATTTTAAAATGGGCAAAGGAAGCTGTGTGTGGATGTTTATAGCAGCTGTCTTCATAACTGCCAAAATTTGGAAACAACCAAGATGTCTTTCAATAGATGAATGGATAAATAAACTTGTCCATCCAGACAATGGAATATATTTCAGTGCTATAAGAAATGAGCTATGGAACCATGAAAAGACACGCAGGAACCTTAAATGCATATTGCTAAGTGAAAGAAGCCAATCTGAAAAGGCCCTACTTTATGATTCCAACTCTATGACATTCTGGAAAAGGCAAAACTAAGGAGACAGTAAAAAGATGAATGGTTGTCAGGGGTTATGGGGAAGGAGGGATGAATAGAGGAGCACAGAGGATTTTTAGGGCAATAAAGCTATTCTGTATGATATTGTAATGGTGGCTACATGTCATTATACATTTGTCCTAACCCATAGAAATATACAACACCAAGAGTGATCCTTAATATAAGCTATGAACTTTGGTCAATATGATGCATTGATTTTGGTTCATCAATAGTAACAAATGTACCCCACTGGTCCAGGATGTTGATAGTGGAAAGTCTGTGTGTGTGTGGATGCAGGGGGTATGTGAGCACACTCTCTACGTTCCACTCAACTTTGCTGAGAACCCAAAACAGCTCTAAAAAAAATAATAAAGTCCATGAAATGAAAACAGTAGGCAAAGGATCTGAATAGATATTTCTCCAAAGAAGATGCACAAATAGCTAATAAACACATGAAGAGATGATCAACATCATTAGTCATCAGGGAAAGGCAAATGAAAACCACACTGAGATTCCACTTCCTGCCCACTCAGATGGCTATAATTAAAAAGACACACGGCAGATGTTGGTGAGAATGTAGAGAAATTGGAACCTTCATACACTGCTGGTGGGAATTTAAAATGGTGCAGCTGCTTTGGAAAATAGCCTGGCAGTTTCTCAAACAGTATATGACCCAGCAATTCTATTCCTAGGTGTATAGACAAAAGAATTGAAAACAGGTACTCAAATGAATAGTTCACATGAATGTTCATAGCAGCACTATTCACAGTAGCCCAGGTGTCCATCAACTGATGCATGGATAAATAAAATGTGGCCTATCCATACAATGGAATATTATTCAGTGGTAAAAAGAAATGAAGTTCTGATACATACTGTGACATGGATGAATCTTGAAAACAGTATGCTAAGTGAAAGAAGCTAGTCACGAAGGACCACATAATGCATGATTCCGTGTTCAGAATATGCAAACCTATAGACATAAAGTAAATTAGGGGTTTCCTGGGGCTGAGGGAGGGAGGATGGAGGGACTAGAGGATGACAGCTAAGGAGTATGGGATTTCTTGGGGGTGGTAATGAGCATGTTCTAAAATTGATTGTGAAGGCAGGGGCACAACTCTGTGAATATACTAAAAGCCTTTGAATTTTACACTTTAAATGGATGCATTGAATGGTATGTGAATTATATCTCAATAAGAGCTGTTTTAACAAAAGATAAAGACACTTTTTTCTTTATGAATCCAATACCATGATCACATCTAAGATATTAGCATGTCAGGGTCTCCTGCTATTAGTGATACAGAGATCAATCATTGCTTTCAGGTGAGGATGGTCTGATTCCTCCATTATAAGACTGTTTTCTACCCTTGCAAATGCTAATTTTCTAGTTCTATCATCCTTCTTGTCTACAAATATCAGCGGAATTTTCCAGTAAAGAAGAGTATAACTTAATCTTCTGGAACTACTTGGTTACTCAGATACAGTTTGTACTGGAAATCAGGACAAAAGTTTCTTTTTTTTTTCTTTTAATCACCAATTTGCAGAGTAAGGACTGTTTATTGTGTGTATTTATTTATTTATTTTATTTTTGTTAATACTCACCTGAGGATTTTTTTTAGAGGGAGGGAAGAAGGAAGGGAGGGAAGGAGGAAGAGAGAGAGAGAGAGAGAGAGAGAGAGAGAGAGAGATATCACTGTGAAACACATCAACTGGTTTCCTCCTACATGACCCTGACGAGGGCCTGAGATTGAACCTGCAATCCATATACATGCCCTTGAGTGGAATTGAACCCACAACACTTTAGTCTGTGGGTCAACGTTCTAACCGCTGTGCCAAACCAGCCAGGGCAGGAGTTTTTTGTGTAAATGCTACCTCTCACCAAAAGTATCCAGGGCTCCTTGGAGATAGGGCAGATCCAAGGTCTGGGACATCTTGCCTTGGCTGTATCAAAGGGGAGGAGGAGTATGGCTGGAGGATAAAGCAGGCAGCTTAAAGTGGCTACTATTTATCAAAAATAGGACAGTGTGAACATCAAAAATTCATGGAGTTATAATTGCCTAAAATGTACCAAATGTATAAAAATCAGTGAGTCTTTAACAATACTCATGAAAATTAAAACAGGAAAAAAAGCAGACTTCAGTTGACTCCAATGAAGGTGGATATTAAAGTAACTCCCGCAGGGCCAGTGTGGCTCAGTGGATTGAGCATGGTCCCATGGACTGAGAGGTCCTGGTTGGATTCCTGGTCAGGGCACAGGCCCGGGTTGCAGGCTTGATCCCCAATAGGGAGTGTACAGGAGGCAGCCGATTGATGTTTCTGTCTCACATCAATGATTCTCTCTCTCTCTCTAAAAGAAGAAATCAATAAAGTAACTCCTTCCCGTGAAAATCGATCATTAAAGAGTAAACTTTTTTGAGAGGCAAGGTGAAGGTGGAATTGGGTAATTACATGTAATCTGATACCGCCTAGGGAAATGTCCCTTTTATGTGGGCCACAGCAGTCAGTCCTGGAAATCAGATCAAAGATGGACAGAGTGTTGGATATGGCATAAATAATTCAAGCTGAGGAATCAAGGAAAGATAAGCGGCACAGGAATTCCCCACCAGGGTATAGATGGGAGCCTAAGCAAGTTTTATAATGGTGAACCTAGAATATTCTTAAAGGAGATGGAGGACCTGCATGCTTGTGAGGAGGAATGGTAATGTTCAGATGAGAGGAGTCAGTTAAGTCAAACTGAGTTTCATTTTGGTGTGAGCTTGATAAAGCAATGTAGAGTCTAAATTAAGACCCAGTAAGAACAAGTTGCTGCAAATCCCTTTTAGAA